CTATACAAAAACATTTTTTGAAGTGGACCAGCTGTTTGTACTAAGTGACTTGAGTGCGTAAGAGTAGTCCCAAGAAAACCTATTCCTCAGCATAAAAATACATTTCCTTCTTGGAATATGATGGTGAGGAAAGGAGTAAGTTCCAATGCAAGCTTAGAATGGCAGTGAAAAATTGTGGTTACACCATGTGATAAATCCACAACTTCTTGGACTGAAAACAGTGGAAATGGAAAACCATTTTTATATCAAAAAAGTTAATTTTTACTATAGGTTAATTCCTCCTGCTATCCTCCACTTCCCTCTACAGAAGAGAAGTGGATACTTGAGGAATTAACCCAAATAAAGTAGGGAAGAATTTCTCATTTCTCCAAAATCAGTTAGGGATTTTCTCTGTTTTTATAAAGGATGATGACTAAATTTCCATTTCTCATATAGAAAATGATCATTGAGGATGGATAGGGCTAAAAATTAAGCAATTAATGAAAAACATTAAACGACAGCAAAATGCAAGGATGTCAATGTACTTTCCATAGCCAAATAAAACAGGGATATATGTATGTATGTGTATATTTACACATACTTTAGTACATCATGGCTATTTTTAATATTTGTCTAGTGGTTTTCACCTCAATTTCATCTTCAGTCTACATCCATATTCTTTCTTCAGTCCTCCTCATCTTTAGTCAAACAATCTTTTCTGACACTCTGCTCCATGCTTTGGGTAGATATTTTTCTTTGAAGTTCCCTAAATACTCAGAAGACCCTGCATTTATGAGATGACCCTGCATTTATAAGAAAGCTGGTGGATGACAAAATTGAAGAGTAAGCATTTAGTCAGAGGCAATGGATCCCACTTTGGTCCTGTAAGAGAATAAGTGAACCTGCAAGAAATTACACATCTGGGAGACAGAAAGCAAGCGATTTTTTTTAAACATTGGCCCTTTTGAAATATTTATTTCAATATTTCAATTTGAAATATTGAATCAAATGACAAATCAAATGACAATTTGTTCACCACAGTCTTGTCCTCAAGTCATGAGAACTGCTATTCCTCATGTCATGTGGCCCTTAGGATCTATGTATGCACCGAATGAGAAGACATAAATGACCGCCTCCTGCATTAAAATTCTAAGCTCATCACTTGGAGTACTTAACAAATATTATTCCTGGTTATTTAGTTAGAAAGGGAATACAGACATCAGAGACTATCATTGTATATTATTTTAGTTGTCACTATAAAAACAATTATTCTTCATTTTACATTAATTCAGAGAGAAATATGCTTCAGAAAATATGCATATATCAAAGACAACTACCTTGAACAGAACACCAAGCTATTTATATAGATACATCAAATGCTTTTTAAAAGACATTACATAATTTTTAAAAGCCTTCTTTGATTAAAGAAAATATAGTAAGTAAATTAGAAAATCAGCAAATAAATTAAAAAGCTCATTTTGTTTCACAACAAATGAACTAAACATTTTTAAAAGGAGAGAAAAAAATAGCTTACAATAATGAAACTAAAAAGTGAGGTTTTTGACTATGACTCATGTTCTAGAAACCTAAGTTAAAAATATTTGGGGCATATATTTAAAATGATGATGTGGTTCAATCTTCAAATGAAAGAAAAAATCAACTATTTATCTTGCTGTATTTTCATACATCAAACTCACCTAAAATGTGATTTATGATTCAGAAATATGGGTGCTGAGACATTACTTGTCACTTAAAAAAATTTAAAGCATTTTTATAGGTTTTATTCTTCCTATCATTATATATTTTTAAAAACCTGATAATAATGGAGAGGGAGTCCCCATAACAACAATTTACTAGCTAAATTGAATCAATGTATGTGCTTTAATTAATTATACTAAAATAGTCTTTTATTTCTTAACATGTGCATGTCATTCATAATAAAATCTGGAAATTTAAATTTTTAAATTTCAAAAATTTAGTCCAATGAATAAAATATACCATTAATATAAAAATAACTCCATCCACAAGCAACTTAATTTCACTTTATCTAATTTTTATATTAATATGTCATTAAAGTTCTGACTGAAAGAGGGAATTATAGTGCCTACTACATAGTTGGTGAACATACAAAGTAATTTAAAATATTTCCTAAAGCATTAATTTCATACAATTGTGTAACATTTTAATGACACTTCTGAACATTCTAAGCAAATGTAAGAAAACAAAAATCAATATACCATGTGGTTAATTTCTTAGTACTTTATTTTGACAGAAACATTTCAGTGCATATATGGAGTTGCCTTTAAATACTAACAAATCTACTTTACTTTTTATTTATTTATTATTTAACTTTGGAAATATTTTTCATTGTATAAATTACAGGTGTACAAATGATGTTTTGATATACACATATATAGTGAAGTGTGACAATCTACTTTTAACGTCTGCTGTTAATGTTTATTTACAATCAAATATGGTTAATTTAGCCAGTTGGCTCCTGATAGTACCTCCAGTAATGAAAAATTATCAAAAGCCAATATATCTTGATTGCAATAGCCTGTACCTTTTATTGTCTGTCTAGATTCTTTTCACATCAGCTCTATAACGAAAAGGTAAGTTACAAACAGAGGTATTAGAAGACACACAATGGGGTCACTGTTCCCTGGAACATATCAAAATATCAATAACTCATAAGGTAATTTGAGAGCTTCCATTATGTAATGCTTCAACAAACAATTAAATTCTATAGATTTTTTCATTTAACAGTCCAGCCAACGTACACATAATATACATAACCCATAAAATAAATTAACAGTGAATCAAAGCATATGTTTAAAGTCCTTGATTCGTGAAGAAACCAGTTGGAAAACGTTTAAGCCAAAATTAACGTCAAATATTTATATTGTTGGGTTTGGCAGCAGAGGTGGGTTCTCAAGAGAGACAACTCATTCCAAGTGGTGTGTTCTATTCTCCTCTCAACCCCATTCATAAAACGTCTGTTACGCAATGGGATCACTACTAGGTTAATGAACACAGGCTGGTGTTTAGCGTTAACTAGTACGTAGAAACGAGAACACCACTCATCTTTACTCAAACACAAAACTTAAGAGAGATGCTTAGGCAAAGGACTTTTGCACCGGACTCATTTGCGTTTCTCGCAGGAAGCAAACCTAAGAATGTGACTGAAATGGGTAATCGGAACGTACAACAAACGGGCACATACAGGCAAGCTTGTAGTTCTCTGAAACGTGTAAACCGATTGTGCGGACCGTGATAAATGGCTGGCATAGCTCTGGGATCAGCCAAGTGCCAGCGTGTCTGCTATTTTCTGCTGATACTGGGACTCTAATTGAAGAAAAGGGACTGGGGAACCCTAACATTGGTTTTCCCTTTCTTAATGCGCCCTTAACCAAGCGGAATTCTCTCTATTCCGACTCCAGTAAAGAGCTGGCAACCTCAAACCCTGACTGATCTGCCTTAAATCCGTGAGTTTGCACTGGGATCACAAACCGCGGAAGCCAAGAAGGAAGATCAATGTCAACACGAGATTGCATGTTCCTCTGACTTTTGTTTGCTCAGATTCTCATTTTAGACAGACACTCTTCCCCTCCCTAAAGAGCACGGAAAGATAATGAATACCCCTATCCCTCATCAAGACAGCCCCAATCACAGCCACACGGAGCGCAGAGGAACCCAACTCTGTCCCTAGGATCTAGTCGCAGAGTCGCATCTCCGCGGGTGGACTCCTAGACCTTCCCTTAAGCCGGGGCACAGTTTGTGTCCAGAGAGAAGGGAAAGCATCTCTTTCAATTCCTCCCGAGGCCACTCTTTCTTTACAGACTCACCTGCATGGGCGCTTCGTGTCTCATTGTTGGCAAATGTCCTTTCTCTCCGGATAGGACGGAGCTGGCCCGGGCGCCCGGTCAAGCGTGCACAGCCCGCGCGCTCCTCGCTCCACACTCTGCACTCCTGGGGTTCGCTAACCGGCTCCAACATCAGCACCGGAGCTGTCCTCTCCTGGCGCTGCACACGCGTACTAGCCGGGAGCCCCGTGCACTCCTGGGAGTTGTAGTCTCGTCCTGCAAGGCTTCCCGGTAAACGGGCGAGCTACGAACTACATCTCCCGGCAAGCAAACAAGAGCTTAAACAGGCTCGCTCCGCCAGTCGGACTCGGCCGCGGAGCCTCCCTTCTCTTTTCGAAAAGCTCCTGGCTGTTACCTCTCTCAGCCGCCCCTGCCCTTTTCCTCGCAAGGGGCAAACAAAAGTAACCCCAGCTTGTCTCAGCTGGAGACTTTTCTTTGCTAACTCTCGCCTTTAGGAGCAGACTGTGATTTCCTGGTTAAGAAACACATTATCCTGTGCTAATTTCCAACACAAACGAAGCCAGAGCTGCGTTCTGGGACTGTCTGCCCTACCCCTCCCCATCCCGAATCGGGAAAGTTTATACATTTTCCATAGGCACAGTGGGTTGATTTGACAATCTCATTCAACAAACGCAGGGGAGAAAGACGGTGAATGGCACGCACATAAGGACAGTGGTCTATGCACATAATTGCATAGAGAAGGCGCGGGCGCGTACACACACACACACACACACACACATACACACACACACACCCAATCCCACACACCAAAGTGCGTGAAAGCGAGATTTCTCGCTGAGGAACTCCCTTCTGCTTACCTTTCCGTACAGCTCCATTGCAACTCGAGGTTCGGAAATTCTCAAGTCACCTAGCTACAAAGGAGGTGAGGGGTCTTACGTAGCAAGCGGGGCTAAACCGAAAGACACAACACAATAGAAGGGGTAAGGGTGGCGTCTGGCTGAAAGAAAAAGGAGGGACGTGGGGAGGACAGCCGATTTAGATGGATGGCTTCTTTCCTCTGGAGGCGGGAAGCGTGGAGTCTTCAAGTGGCAGCTGCAGAGAAAGGGCTGAGAGTCTCTTAGGAAGTGCCAGGGGCGCGATTGCGCTGGGCAGCCCCTCCCCGGGCCCTCCCCCAGGCACCTTCCACCGTCATTAGCGCGCACACATAGCCGCCACTGGCCGCGGGCTGGAGAGCTGATAGGACACTGCGTTATTTACCCAGAGCAAGTCACATAAAATGAACACATTCATCACCGCAGCCCAGAGGCACCGTCACAGAATGAGATGGGGTCTCAGACCTCTGTTAAGTTATCCTGTCCTTTCTTTAACATAGACTCATTCCTTATATTACAATCGTACTCTTCCCAGACTAGTTCCAAAAAATGGTTTTTGAAATCTCGGAACTGTACTTTTGTTACCCTGATCTATTCTCCTCGGTTGACTAATATGTATGACTACACATGTCCTCTGTACCTATCTGTAGACAGCTCTCTCCACGTAAGAGTAAACGTTGATCATCCAGCAATGAGCCTTCTTGCCTTGGCATGAAGTCAAAATTACTACATTGGAGGCAGAATGGAAAAGGAACGATCGCGATATTAGCATGAAAGGAAGGAATAACTTGAATCAGCTTTAAATTTCATTGCATTAGACAAAGCAGTAGAACGGAGGTTCTGAAACTTAAATGTGCTTGAAAATGTGCTTGGGATTAAAATTCATGTTCTCAAGCCATGTGTAGAGATTCTGATTCACTAGATCTGATGAGAGGTCTGGGAATTAGCATTTTAAACACCTCAGGAATTCTGATGCAAGTGGTTCCTTTGTCATAATTTGAGAAACACTACCTTAAAACAATTTATATAGCAGAATTTTTTAAAGATATAAACCTCGAAAATTTCACAGTATGAACTCAATAATGCAACAGCTATGTATTGGAAACCTACCATATTCATAGTGTCCAATTAATTTTAGATTTTTTTATATTAACAAATCTACAATCTGTCTTCTAACCTTGCAACTAGTGAGAATGTAATGTGATATCATCTAGGTAAATAATTTTTATAATTATTCAGAAAA